ATTTCAGCACATCTTGAGATAACCTAATTTTTTTAAGTTTGTACTTTTAAATGCACATGACTTGATGGTTGAACGTAGTAACAGTGGTTAATCTCTTCTGTGTCTGAATTTCTATATTAATTCAAAATTTTTGTTCGATTATATCAAAAGCTAAAAGTGTCTTTCATACAGGCTAAAAAAATAACTTTGTTAGATATTATGGATATTTGGTCATTTGACAAGAAAAAAATGCTTACATCCGAATCTGAAACGAAACGCTCACGATTACAATAGTTCGTATCCTCACTAAAGCAAGCAATATTCGTTTCCTGAAACTTTGAAACGTTAAAAAAAACATAATTCTTAAACTGAAAAAAATCCTAAATTACATATTTATTTTAATGGATGAACTGTTTAATGTGTACTCCAAAGCGTTAGTTCCTTTTTCATAGTTTGTAGTTTAAAGCTTTATAGGTTTCAACTGTTTAGTTTTTAAACTAAAACTTCATTACTTTTATTTTTAAGTTTGTAAACTAAAACTGTATAGTTTCAGTGTTGTTTACCACATAAATATTTATTGATTTCACTGTTAAAAAAAGTTTATAAGCCAAAATATTTGCTTTAAAGTTCAATTAATATTTTTAGCTTTACAGACTCAACTGTTTAATCTGGGAGCTCAAGCTTGATAGTTCTTAACCATGTAGTTTACGTTTGAAAGAATAATTAAAATAAAAATCATCTAGTTAGTAATATACGAAGAATAGAAATCACGGATTAATAATATTTGCAATTACAAAGCCATCGCAAAATATATAAAACAAAAAACCTCAACAACACGATTGATGTTTTATGCAATAACATTTTGTTTCTTTGAACTGAATTCAGAACCTTTCACGTGAAATCCAGAACAAAAATAAACGATAAATAGAAAATACTCTAACAAAGCTCAGAATTCTAGATTAAAATCATTGTTGTTGCATAGGATTAGACTCAATGGCATGAAATAAACCAAACAATATAGTGATTAATTTACGGCGATTGTAAATAAAAATTTCAATGAAAGTTTTACTCAAAAAATATCTCGAAATTAGCATAAAAAATGTCAAAGTTTGCTGTATAATTGGACACTCATATATCTGTAATTACATACCTCTTTTATCTTTTAATATTATTTTGATAAGGTAATACACAAGCTTATTCTATGCTTTCACACCTGGAATTTCGTGAATCTGTTAGTTTAAATAAAATTAATAAAACGAGTCATCAATTTTTTTTATTATTACTTGCACAATAATTTATTTGTAAAAATTTAAAATATAAGTTAACAGAAACTTTAAAAATTCTAGATGTTTCGGTGGAAATAATTCCACCATCTTCAGGAGAATAAATCACAAAGTACACATGAAGTTTCTTATAAACATAACGCACGTGTATAATTAGCATGTTTTTACAATGGCGCCATTTACAACAATGATTTCTACAAGTTTATTTCCGTGGCCCCTGGGCCTAAATCTCTATTTATATTCATTTTGTTTTTAACAATTTCTAAAGATTATCTTATATCTAGTTCATCTTTTTCCGTTACCTGTTCAAGTATTTTCACATTATCTCAATCAATAACATGTGTAGAATTCGCCACATGTTCTGCCAAAGCCGATATCCACCGCATTTTGATGTTCTTTTACTCTAAATTTTAAGTTCCTACGTGGCTGTCCAATATAACTTAGATCACAAGTACATGCAATTTTATATATACCACATTTATCCATTAACTCAATTTTTATCTTTCAAACCATTAATTTTTTGACTTAACTTTAATTGAGGAGTAAATGTTATTGGCAGTTCATATTTTGCCTAAACACATTGCCTATTTTTATTGACCATGGTGAAACATGAGGCAAACAAATTATTTCTTTAATTTTAATTTTTGTTGTTTGAAGTTAAGTACAAAGTTACACAATGGGCTATCTGTGCTTTGCCCACCACAGGTATCGAAACCCGATTTCTAGCGTTGTAAGTCCGCAGACATACCGCTGTGCCACTGGGGGGGCTTTCATTTTTGTTATCTGCAGTTTAGCACATCCAGAAATTTGAAGCTTGTAACAATATTTACTGTACATGATTTGAGGATGAGATCGTTTATAGGGCTTTTTGTCATATGATGAGGATTTGATGTTAGAATGGATGCACAGTAAATATTGTAACAAACTTAAAGTTTCTGGATGAACTAAATTGCAGATAACAAAAATGGAAAGTAGAGAAAGAATATGAATCGGCTTCGGCAGAACATGTGGCGAATTCTACACATGTTATTGATTGAGATAATGTAAAAATACTTGAACATATAACGGAAAAAGATGAACTAAATATAAGAGAATCTTTAGAAATTGTTTAAAACCAAATGAATAGAGATAGAGATTTAGGCCCTGGAGCCACGGAAGTAAACTTCTGGAAATCATTGTTGTAAATGGCGCCATTGTTAAAACATGCTATTTACACATGTACATTAGGTTTATGAGAAACTTCATGTGCACTTCGTGATTTATTATCCTGAAGATGGTGCAATTATTTCCATCGAAACATGTAGAGTTTTTAAAGTTTTTTTAACTTATATTTTTAAACTTTACAAATAAATCATTGTGCAAGTAAAAAACATTGATATCTCGTTTTATTAATTTTATTTAATTTTTTTGCAGAAGAACTCTCCGTTTTACGTATTGAACCTGTTAGTTAATGTAGCATCTGAAACTCAAGCTCAAGTGTTTTATTGTAAAGGCTCGTACACAAAGTTTGAAGAATAGTCCATTCACTTGAAATATCGTGGAAATGCGTTTAGACGTCCCCTTTCAGTTTTACGTGTAACTGCTCTTTGTACTGCTAAGAGAAAGACATGAAACACTGATAGTAAACAATTTTATACAGTATTATTAGGGACTTGGTCTACGTACTCCATTTGAAGATTACTTTGTCATGAACGCTCGTGCTGATGTTGCAGATGGTTGAACTGACAAAAATGGCTCCGATGCTTTGGATATAATCACATTTCTACAATTCGGAATTTAATAATTGTAGATAATTTATACTAATTTAACAAACTAGCCTATACTTATACATAAGTAGTTTTCAATTCATTCTTCAAATTTCATTTAACTGGCGTTCTGACACAGTAGAGTACAAAAGATTCAATACCTCAATATTAAAATACAAACCATAACCATTTCTTTCTTTTTCTATGTGATTATTTTTTTTCCGTAATATTCAAATACCAATAAATAACGCTTGGATCCGTATTGGATACTGGACGGGGTTTTATTCAAAACCATGGTATCTGGATTACGAACATATTGAACATCAACAAAGAGTGAGAAAATCGATTTTAAACAGAATGAAATATCCTATTTTCTTCTTAAAGAAACAAACTATAACTTTAATACCTGAAGATATAACTCAAGACCAAATTATTCCAATTAATCAGTTAACGTGCCGATTTCAAAATTACAGAATTAAAACTATTGCAGATGAAGTACCACAGGACAGTGGGTTTGTGTTTGTACATGGTGAAAATAGGTCTATATTTATACATGATAATGGGAGTAAAGACTGAGAGACTTACTTGCACCTGATAGATGATAGTTAGGACTTCACAATTTTATATGCATAAGATTGTGGTTCAACAAGTAAAAAAATTACTGAGTCGAGATTTTATTTTTGTTCATGAATGGCAGTGAATGTGCAGAGGTTGGGATTTGTTTGCGTTGAAAGGTGAAGACCCCAAGCTTGTACATTAGTCGCTGAGCGTTATATAACAAAAAGTTGGGAGACTGTTTAAGTTCTTCAATTTTGAATTATTAGAATAAATTTCTTAATTTCGCTCTTTTCAGGGTCAGGTTTGATTGGATTTATGGTTCTCTATGGGAACTGAAAATGAAAGCAACTTGGACGAATTAATTTTAATGTAATATGTTTTGTAATAACCGAAGTGATCAGACTTTAGACTTCATGTTAAATAATAAAGTTTGTTTGTTTGTTTGAAATTAAGCACAAAGCTACACAATGGGCTATCTGTGCTCTGCCCACCACGGGTATCGAAACCCGGTTTCTAGCGTTGTAAGTCTGCAGACATACTGCTGTGCCACTGGGGGGCAAAATAATAATAAAGTGAAAAACTTTGCTAGCTTCGGTGTTATATAGAGAAACGTCTTATTACTGTGTTAATTAGTTTCGTTAAGTTCTGAAACTGAACAAAATATCAACCTTCCGGAGCAGCATGACAACCCAACCACAGACAAACGTAACTCTACTTATAGGAAGCCTGTACTAGGCAAACTAAGAAAATATGTGTTAAAAATAACCATCAGCTTATGATGGGAAAATGTATTACACTTTCTAGCTTAAAAAAGTTCCTCATTGTGGCTGACGAGAAACATAGAAAGACTGACTTATTTCTACTCAAAACTGATATTCGTAAAAACGTCCTATATAAAATTAACATTTCAAAAGATGGGGAATATAATATATATACTATGAAGTTTCTTTTACAGAATTTAAAATTTCATAGACAATTAATAGAAGGCATTAAACGGCATATCACTAAAAATAGAAATTGAAAAAATTAATAAAAGCATCATTACTCACGTTAACTATTATGTGTATTAGTATTTTTGAGCAAATCATTCTGAGGTTATTACAGAGTGAATACATATAAGACACAGGTAAAGGTTAGTAAAATCGTATGTTTTAAATGAATATGATACTAATAAAAAATAAAAAGGTTTTTATATTACTTTCACGAAGCTATTAGCTTGAAATGTGAGCGCACTCTATACTTTGCAAAAATCGTATACTTTATAATCAGCCCTTTTTCAACACAGAACATAATATATTTTAATAATAAATAGTAATAATTTATCTAACAGTTATACAGTTAGTAACGAGTTTAAGTATTTTAAATAATGAGCTGCTCTAAAATATAATTTACAGGTATGCTTCTTGCTGTATATGTTTAACCAAGACATCATATTACACTGCATGACATCACAGTTGACATACAAGACGAAAACTAAACTTTACACAAGTATATATGTAGACAAATTGTCTGTACTTATAACATATTCAATTTTTCTTGTCACAATTGTTCATAAATTATGCTTATAGGCCAACGTAATTTTGCAGGTTAGGTAGAATGTCCTACTCGTTACCATAATTAGTATTCTAATTTACAGAAGGCCTCATTATTGCATCCTGGCTTCCTGTATTTGAGGCTGAGAGCCATAAGATACAGGAAATATAGCAGGGGTTGCTCCATGAAGAGGCTGAGTGAATGGATAGGCATAAGCCGCAGTGGGTAAGTAAGGGTTTCCTCCATGTCCAGCAGGGGGCGTCGTAGTCACTGCTGAAATCGGATAAGATGGATCCAGTCCATTAGTATACTGAGCTGGATACGCTGTTGCGTAATCGTAGAAGTGTCCAGTAGCTGTTGCCGGAGACAGCTGAGCGTGTGGAGATACAATTAGTCCTGGTGAAGCAGGAAGAAAAGGCGAAGGATAGACATACTGAGCAGGGAAGCTAAAATAAAAAACAAATGTATAAGTAAGAAAACTATTTCTTAAACTTATTTATTACTAAATACTGTCTAAAGTAGGTTGCCAAATAAAGAAAAACTTAACTTCAAAGGAAATATTACATATATATATATTTGATTTAAAAATAACTAGTATAAATATCATTCATCTTGAATTTTATATCTCCCCTTGTCGTTGTTACAAATCTAGTACTTAGGCAAATAGATGAGGGGAAGAACAAAAGCAGATACAATAAATAGGCTGAGAAGAAAAAGTTAACAGATGAATGCATAAAAAGATAGAGCAAGAGATAAATAAGACAGATAAAAGATCGGTATAAAAATACAGATATAGGCAAATAAACAGATAAATGAATATAATGCACAGAAAGGCAGTTAAGTCAACAGACAACAAAAGAAATAGGCATACAACTAGACAATTAGGTTAGCAGAGAGATGAAGAAAAATTCACAAAATGACAACAATACATAAAAATAGATATAAAAAAAAGACAGATAGGTATATACATAAATACAACTAAATAAAGAGACAGATGAATATTTTTTTATTGGCTGTTAAGCGCAAAGTTGCACTGCGCCCTTTGCAGGAGCGAATCCCAAGCATTAGCCTTATATGCGGAAAAAGGATAGCATTGTAATTAATTACAGAAACAATGCAGAGAAATTGACAAACAACACCGCTAGGAATAAACAAACAGATGAATACAAATGGAGAATATGAGAATTAAAATACACACAACAACAACGACACAAGAAACAAACAATGAACCAGGTAAATGTATATAACAATAGAACAAGGAAAACGGACAGATGAAGGGAAAATGTATAGTATTATAACTAAGTCCATACAACAATACAGAGAGATAGACAGAGTAAAAGGCAGTTAAATTCATACAGTAAGTAGTACGAGGAGACAGATGTACGACAACAATACAACTAGGTAGAGGACTGATGCAGCAGAACTGATAACATATATATATAGTTAAATACAAATAATAGTACAGACATAAAGACAACAATATAATTAAGTATACATACAGATGCTAAAAATTGTAAAATAAAACGGTCATTATGGTAACAAAACATACAGCACAATCCTATAAGACAGATAAACAGGCATATACATGTAGATGCAGAAAAACAGATCTGACACAGAAAACATCCCAGGAAGAATAACGGACAACAAGACATATAGGTATAGGCGTACAATAATACAACTAAGTAGACAGAGTATAAGTTGATAAAAAAAAGAGAACAAAATAACACTTGGAGAGCCTAAAAACTACATAGAAACATAGAAATACAAACACACATAAACAAGATAGATAAGTAAACAGGCAACAAAGCCATACACACAGATACAGATAAACAGAAGCAAACCATTAAAAACTGACAAGGTGGAGAAGTATACAAGACAAAGAAACCCAGATAATTATATAGATAATTAACAAAATAAACCGATGGACAACAACGTTATTGTTCATGAATTTTGCTTTTGATCTAGAATATTTAGCTTTATACATATGCATGGGGTTGACATTTCAAATTATACGTGCCTCAAGAATACAGCATAGGTTTTTTGTATATAAGTAATGTATGTTTGTACACGCCTCTTGCTGACACGACTCGCTCTATGTGCTGCTTAGAAACTTCATGCCCTATACCAGTGAATGTGTTGAAGTTTATTCATAGTTCTTTCACTATGCAACTAAATTTAAAAAAATCCATTAAAAATTGAAAGTGCTTGCGCTGTTTTCAGTAGGCAAACAACACCATTCTCTTTGTAAAGTTAAAAATGTAGGTGCTTTAAGCTGTTATTTATCTCCAACACCTACATATGTTTATACATGCGGCTTAGAAACACAAAATCATATTTCCTCAAAGTACTAGCTAAAGCTAGTAACTTAAGCATATATAAAAGTCTAACTGACATATAATATTTATTTGCTAACCATAACTTAGAAAAACATGAAAATATATGTACGGAATCTTCCAAGTTAAACACATTCCTACGGATTCTCTTCCACTTCTATAAGAAAACATTTTCTCAAACTTCTAAACTCAAATATACGCACAAAATCGAAAACAGAGAAATAATCAAGGATATACTTTCAATGAATTTTAAACATTTAGAAGTAAATTTGTTTGTTGTAGAATTTTTCACGCAAAGCCACACAGATGACTATCTGCACAGAGCCGTCTCTAATGTTGAACTAATAGACTAGAGGTAAGAAAGCTAATCAAGATCACTCATGACAAGTCTTGTCTAATTGAATAGTTGGATTTGAACCATCATTCTTATAGTGCACCCGCGGCACCAATGTTCGTAGTACATTTTCGCAGCAAACAGGCTTCGAACCATGAATCCTCGATAACCATTATTCCACGATCGGCCCTAGAAATAAATACATAACAAAAAGTAACCAAACTGATTTTCCATGAAACTGAAGTAAGATCCTCTGCTGGAATATTCTCAAATGCTTCTTAAAATCAGTAAATAAATGAGTCGAGATGACCAATAGAAATATAATGTCAAAGCGAAGACACTAAGAAAAATCATGCAGAACATAATTATTCTCAATAAAGCCAGAATGAACCACAGTGAATAGAGCACAGACAGAACATTGTGTAGATTTGTGCTAAACAACAAGCAAACAAATTATTTGTTGCATATCTCACCCTATCTGCTCAGTTGAAAAACTGCTTATATATACAGTATTTATTGTATTTCACTTTATTTCGTCGATTGAGAAGGTTAGTGTGTTTAGTTGTTGTATGTTTTACCATCAAAAGCTGCTCTTTTCGTTATTCCTTCAACTATGATTTCATTGAACATGAGAATACCAACATTCAGGAGAGTTTCTTTTATCGTTGAAAAAAAATATGTAAGTTATCTGATCAAATCAATGAACTGTTAGAGATATTGCATTTAAAATCAATCAGGTGTTTCATAGCAGGACTTGTGCTATACGTATCAACTTGTGCCATGTCTGTTCTGAACTTGTGCTATACGTATCATCTTGTGTCATGTTTGTTCTGTACTTGTATTATATGTATCACTTTGTGTCGTGTCTGTTCTGTACTTGTGCTATACTTATCAACTTGTGTCATGTCTTTTTTGTACTTGTGCTATACGTATCAACTTGTGTCATGTCTGTTCTGTACTTGTGTTATACGTATCACCTTGTGTCATGTATGTTCTGTACTTGTGTTATACGTATCACCTTGTGTCATGTCTGTTCTGTACTTGTGCTATATGTATCAACTTGTGTCATGTCTGTTCTGTACTTGTGTTATACGTATCAGTTTGTGTCACATCTGTTCTGTACTTGTGCTATACTTATCAACTTGTGTCATGTCTTTTTTGTACTTGTGCTATACGTATCAACTTGTGTCATGTCTTTTCTGTACTTGTGTTATACGTATCAGTTTGTGTCATGTCTGTTCTGTACATGTGCTATACATATCTCCTTGTGTCATGTCTGTTCTGTACTTATGCTATGCGTATCAACTTGTGCCATGTCTGTTTTGTACTTGTGCTACGCGAATAAATTGTGCCATGTCTGCTCTGTACTTGTGCTATACGTATCAGCTTGTGTAATGTCTGTTCTGTCTAAATACGATATTCTGTTTTAATCATCACCCCACGCTTTTTGTTTGTTTGAGAAAAATGAAGAACTTTCTGGGCTTGAGATGTTTAGTTTTTAATCGTTAATTAAATTTGGTTCATAATAAGTGAAGCTATTACCTGTCTAGCTAAAAAATATATATATATAAAAAATAGCATACTCTTCATCTTAGAGAATCAGCTCTTGAAGTAAAACAGGAATTGTTTAATAATTTACCCTTTTGTCACGTTATTACTATTTTAGAGCTTTTATATTTCTTCTGTCTAAAAATCTCCAGTAAACTTAATACAAAACAGTGGAGAATTTAAGAACGTTGAAAACCATTTTGTTCAGTATATTTTTTTCATTTAAATATGAAACCTTAAAACTTTAGTTGCTATTCAGTATAAAGTATATTAAATGTTAAAACTGGGAAGAACTAGCCGGGTGGTTAGGGCGCTCGACTCTCAGTTTGATGGTCGCGGGTTCGAATCCTCGTCACACCAAACATGCTCGCCCTTTCAGCCGTGGGGGCGTTATAATGTGACGGTCAATCCGTTGGTAAAAGAGTAGCCCAAGAGTTGGCTGCTGGTGATGACTAGCTGTCTTCCTTCTAATCTTACACTGCTAAAGTAAGGACTGCTAGCGCATATAGCCCTCGTGTAGCTTTGTGCGAAATTCAAAACAAACTGACTCCTTATTAGCACCTGTTACCAAGAGATTGTAAGTTTGTGGGTCGTTAAGAGTCAGGCGGTCTTTAGCTATGAGTAAACTTTCTTAACTATAGAGTCGAAGGTCTAAAGTTCCTGTGGTAATGACAGAGAAATCGTTATATGAAATATTGTGACCTGTGGTTTCAGAATGTGAACGAATGGATTAGTGGCTGAGTTTAAGTAGTGGACGGTCGGTTCTGTTAGATACTCCTAAATGTTCACAGACTCTAGTTTTAAGTGGTGTTTTGTTTTGCCAATGTACGTGACCTTACAGTCACTACACGTATATATAGTATATACACGAGCCATGAAGAGTAATATTACACGAGTAATGAAAATCAACTCCACAAAAAATGAAATGCTTATATGCTGTCGTATATGGTTTTATTTGTGTAATGTAACAGCTCAGCACCAGTCTTTGCACTGGAAGTTCAGTGTAAATGAGGAGTGAAATTCGACTAACTCAGAGGCATCACTCGATTCTTACCCATTCCATCCTTCGTAAGACTCAAGATATGTGCAAATATCTATCTACTTAAAATAATTCAGGCAGTGTGATATGTTCTGTGTGAAGTTGCATATGATGCAAAACGTGATGCATTCTTTTGTAAACATTTGAAGTTAAAACTAGTTAAATATTATGTATGTGATACACATTAAACAG